ACCCCCTCCCTCCTGCCCCACCCTCCAGCTTCCAGGGTACACTGCTAATGGGGTGGTAGTGGGGGTCTGATATCACTACACATATGAAAGGCCACCTTCCCCGGTACGGGAGGTACTGCTGAGCACTGGCCCTGCACCACCGCCAAGTGGATATGGAGCTCTGGACCACAGCCCTGGGACCACCTCCCAGCTCAGCCTCCCACTACATCCTCTCAGGTAAGCCCGGGCCAGCTCAGCCTGCTGCCCATCTGGGCAACTGAGACATAACCGCCGCTCCGCTGGAGCCTGTGTGAGTCCACAGCTGAGTGACGTTGTGGGGGAACCATAAGGAGTCTCGTTCAGCCTCCGCTGGAAACGAGCCGGACCAGGGTGCCTGTACGTGCGTTTTCCCAGGACACCCCCAGTTGAGGCCCACCTGCCCCACACTGATGGCCCACTCTCAGTCTCACAGGTGTCCCTGTCCAGGCGAGCAAGGTTAATACCACCAGCATAAGACACATGCACATCCAGAACCCCTTGATACCACACGGAAGCTGATGCACTTTCAGTGATGTTCATGCAACAAATGGAACCCCCCAGTGCACCATTCAGCAGCATTTGTATATTGCCATTGTTGTGCAACCACCCTCTGTATCAAGTTCCAAAGCATTTTCAACCCCGAAAAGAAACCCTGTATCCATCATCAGTGGCTCCCCTCCCTCCCCCCACCCCTGGCAGCCAGCAATCTGACTTCTCTCTGGGCACTTGCCCATCCTGGACATTTGGTCTCAATGCAGTGTGTGGCCCTGGTGTCTGGCTTCCTTCACTGAGCGTCATGTTCTAGAGGTCCTCACCTTGTAGCATGTGGCAGAACTTCTCCCTCCCCACGATTCTGTCACCTGGCCCCAGCACCCAGCCAGGGCCAGGCGCACACTCGGAGCCCAGTAAATCACAAATGGAACTCACCCAGTGTTCCAGCTGACACGACCTTAGAGACCACCCTCCAGGTCCCCTGTTGTACAGAACGAATTAAAGTCACAGAGGCATGGCGGCTTTCCCAAGGCCACAGCAAGAGAGAGCAGGGTCTGGAGCCGGTTCTGAGTCCCGTGCTCACACTCCCACCCCAGGATGCCCCCTTCTCAGGCCTGGCTGTGGTTATGATCCACAGGGCCAAGGGGCTCAGAGGGTCTGCCCCACCAGAAAACAGGGTGGTCAGATGCCCCACATGGAGAAAGCCTGGTGGCGGGCGGGGAGTTTCGTAGGGCCTCTGGGGAACTGCCCGGCTCCTGAATCGCCCAACCAGGGAACAGGTGGGCAGAGGCGGTACCCATCATGACGAGTCATGCTGGGCCGGGCTAGGCAGGGTCCAGAAATCTGCTCTGGGATGGGCCCAGGGAAGGCTGGGGTGGGCCAGGGGGCACACATGGCAGGGACGGGACTCGGGGTTCAGGCAGAGGGGTGAAGCCACCTATGCCCTTTTGTCTCCTTCAGGTGAACAGGGATCCAGACCTCGGCTCTGCCTCCACCCAAGGCTCGTCTCTGGACCCGGCTTCCCTCCACATCAGGTGGGTAAACCCGCCGTGTCTGCTTCTCAGGGGCCTGGGGTAGCTCAAGGGAGGAAGGGGTGGGACAACAACGTTTCCCTGAAAACTCTAGAGAAGAGAGGGCTTGTGGGTATCGGTGTGGGGCCACTAGCCCCATTTCCTCCAGAGGAAGACAGGGCCTCAAGGCTTGGACCTGAGACAAGACCCTATCAGCCATGAGAGCCCCTGGACACTCCACAGGTGAAAATGCCCTGCACGGAGCAGCGCCCCCAAAACAGGGGCAAGATCGGGGCAGGGTAGAGGACGCAGGATGTGGAGGCAGGAGAAGGCTCCAGGCCTTGCTCAGCTCTGGCTGTGCACGGGCCTCTGGTAGGCAGGGGCGTGCATGGTGGAGTCCGTGCTCATCCCGATGGTCACCGCCTCGTTTAGTCCCCACAGCGGCCACAGGGGACTAGCTGCTTCTCCCTGAGCCACACGGCCCACTTGGCCTCCATAGTGGACTCATGACTTGTCCCATTTTCCAGATGAGGAAGCTGAGACATGAGAAGTCACGGAACTTTCTAGGTCTGAGTGACTCCAAAACTCATCCCACCCCTCCCTCTGAGCCGGGTGTCTGCCAGCCTGCCCTGGTCTGCATGGCCACTTGCCAGCATCTGTGTCACCACCCGTCTCAGCCTCCTTCCTCATCTGTAACAGGGCTCATAAAGCCTGCAGCACCAGGATTGGACCCGCAGGCCCGCAGGCCACTCCACCCCACCTGAGAACTGCGCCAGAAGGTTCTCCCAAGGCCAGCAGCATCGCTCTCTCCACCTGCCACAGCAACATCCCAGCCCCCACAGAGCATCAGGCCCCGCAGGATCTGAGCCCTCCCCTACCAAGGGTGGGACCCAGGGTCTCCAGGTCTTGTGAGACTTCACTCCTGGCCCGGAGACCCCAGACCCATAGCTGCCGCAAGGTATCTCATCTCCTGGGCCTCTGTCTCCATCTGTGAGGTGGTGGTCGAGCCAGTGGGTTTCAGGGTGTCTTTCTGTTCTTGGAGACCTCCCTATAGGTGACCCAGAAGGCCAGGCACAGTGGCTCACACCTGTAATCTCAGCACTTTGGGAGGCTGAGGCAGGCAGATCACCTCAGGTCAGGAGTTCGAGACCAGCCTGGCTAACATGGTGAAGTCCTGTCTCTGCTAAAAATACAAAAATTAGCCAGGCGTGGTGGCGGGCGCCTGTAGTCCCAGCTATTCAGAAGGCTAAGGCAGGAGAATCACTTGAACCCAAGAGGTGGAGGTTGCAGTGAACCGAGATTACGCCCCTGTACTCCAACCTGGGCAACAGAGCAAGACTCCGTCTCAAAAAAAAAAAAGAAAAAAATCGAACAAACAAAAAGCAAAACTTAACTAACTAAAAAAAGAAGATGATCCAGGAACAGAATAAGGAATGTGTCCCTTCTCTGATCCCCACCACCACCCCCAGCTGCACCCAGCTCCCCTGAGCCTTGTCTCTCCAATGAAGCCACCATTGTCCCAGAGACTTGTTTTCAGGCTTTTAAAAAATGACTCATGGCTAATCGTCCTGACTTTGTGTGCGTTTTTCATTACAAAAGTAACCAGTGGAACAGCCCACAGGTCTGGAAAAATCCACAGCCA